CCAAGGCCCTCCCTGGCCCCAGGCAGGCAGGGGTGGGGAGAGGCGGGGAGGAAGCAACTTACCCTCCCTCTTCTCCTGCCTCCTCCTGGCTGAATGAGGGCTGGAAGCAGGGCGGCTGGAAGCAGGGATCGGGGCTTTATCGTGTTCCCCGCCCCCCGCACCTCACCCGGGGGAACTACGATCCCCCGCGTTCCCCCCAAAAATGACCTCTTGTTGGAGCCAGTCACACAATGGATTGTAGGAGGTGCAGCCAACCACAAAATATATGGGAGAGAGGTTATGCACAATTCTAGTAGTAACTCTTCAATATTTTGGGCAGGGCTGTGCTTAGCAGATGCATTTTCAAATGAATATATTATTTTAAAGTATTTTTTTGCCTTCACGGAGCATATCTTAAGTCATGCAGTGAAGATCCTTGTGCTTTGGGTTTTGAAGCAATGTTTTTAAAATCTGCACGGCCAATCGGGTCTCCAGTGGTGAATCAGAAGTCCTATTTGGCTAAAGTCCACCTGGTTCTGCCCACTTTTTAAAAACACTTGGCAGGCATGAGGAAAAGTATCAGTGGGCACCATGTTGGAGACACTGCTATACAACATGTGCTAAGATGTAGTGACTTATGGGATGTAATAATAAGAAAAAAATGGGAGGAATTCAGTAAGACCTATGGCTTTTCAAGCATGGGATGGGATAGCTGTGTGACTGAAACAACATGTGTCCGGATGTCACAAAAGAAGAGCACGTGATAAGGTACCGACCAACAAACCTGGAGAAAATGTAATGTCTAGTTGACCCTAGGAGGATGGGGACCATTAGATCCAAATAAAAGGGAAAAAAGTCAAACTATTATAAAATAGTGGAAAAGAGCAAGAGTCGAATAGCACCTGAAAGACTTTTCTGAAGAAGTGAGCTCTTTTCTGCTGCTACAGACAGACTAACATGCTGACACGAATTTTCACAATGAAGTTCTGAAAGACCTCTAAGTTACATAATTCATTCTGCCTTTTTCTCCAAAGCCCATATTCTGAATAGTGTAAAAACAACCACAACCACAACAAGCAAAAGACATCATGGTTAGAAATCATGCAGGTAAAATTTTCATGTACATTTTTGCATTCATAATATGCATCAAAAATTCACAAGCCCGTTCAGATCTGACATCATTTCTCCAAATATCATTTCCAAATATCATTTCCAAAAGACAGATGTTTAAACTTGCTGCATTGGGTGCTAATTTGCTTCCAAGCTCAGTTCAAGCTGCTGGTGTTCACCTTTCAAGTCCTTCAAGACCTGGTATCCTCATATCTGTGGGACTGTCTAGGTCCACATAAGCTCTTGAAATGATGGAGGCTCTGAAAGGCAGAGCTTTTCCACTGTGCTTTTAGTGGCTTTTGGAGTGTGGGGGTCAGTTACTGTGATAGGATAAACAGCTTGCTCTCTTGTTACTTTATTGCATTTTTGTACAATAAGTTTTTAAGCTGGTTTGAACATAGCTCAGGAGAAAAGCAGGATATAAATGTTGTATATAAGTAAATAAAGTCTTTGAATGTCTCCTTTGCAACTATTCAACCAGAGAGGAAAGAACAGGGCAAAGATGGCAGAACCGATTTTTAACTCAAGGGAGTATTAAAGAATGGCATTACTCATGTGAGATGGAAGTGGTACAGTCCACTCTGCCAGCTCAGGTCTCTACCACGTTATGCTTACCCATTTGGTGGTAATTGGAAAAAAATATGGATTTGCATGACATGTCACTCTTGCATCACAAATAAGAATCAGGAGTCCAGCATTGCCAAGGCATTTTTTATGTCCAGGAATTTTTGAAATTAAAACCGTGCCAATGGGCTGTGCAGGCTCGCTTGCTTCCAGATACCTCCAAGTACTAATAGCCTCAAGAGAACAACTGCATACAGCTGTCAAGCAATCATGAATCACTTCATAGATGTGAGAGTAGGACTTCCTACAGGTACACTAAGGACCTGCCCAAAGGGAACAAAGAGGTCAAGCATATGCAAGTCCTCACACTGTACATATTTTGTAATATGTGGAATTAAGGTGTCCAGTAGTGCACATGGACACTTGATGTCACGTGTTGTCAGATCCACCATCTGTCATGTTCAGGGCATACGCTTAGGCATCCAATACCCTTCTGGTAGAAAAAAATCCCAGATAACCACAGGTGCAAGAAAATCATATTTTCTTTATTGTTTCGTATTGTATGGCCAACAAACAACAGCAAGCTGATTTCACATTGATTCCTGATTATTTATGTAATACATTAACAACTTAACAACATCTGTTTCTACATATGGATAAATGTCTAAGAAAGGGTGATATCAAGATTCAAATAACTGAAAGATTGTTAGCTGCCTGTTTTTCTGCTGAGCCATAGAATCTGGACAGCTGAAACTGGTGAAGAAGACCAAGCTGTTAGCAGAAAGCCACCAAAAACTAGAAGAATGAAAGGTACTGGAGCACTCTCAAACATAGCTACTTGGAAGGATGTTCATTTCGTGTGAGACATACATTTAAGTAAACATGCATAGCATAAGACAGCCGGGCCACTTTGGTTGTGATGACATAGCAAAGGTTCAGTGTAGAAATAGGAAGATCCACCTTTCCAATTCATGTGCCTAATGTAGCTGCAAGATGCCTATGAAATCTCAAGCTACAGATGAATCCATTGGGTTAGATCTAGCCAACTTTTCCATTGCTAAAAAAAGGAGAAGGTGATCCCCTTTGATATTCAAAAAGGCTACACTGGGGAACATGGCACCTGAATGGTCAAAAGCCATGTGGGTTAGGGGTTTCCATAAGCATGGAAATTGGGTGAGATTGCTTGAAAAAGCAGGCTGGATCCAACCCCCTAGTCTCTAAAGTGCCACAACGGCACATTTTCTCTTCTTGATTTCTGCTCAGGTGAATGTGGCTAGAGAGCTGGCAGATGCCCCTGATCCAATTACTTACATGGAGTTGCATTTGGGATGGGTTGGCACCGCTTAACATAGGTATCCACATGTGCCACAATAGTGTTTGTGCTTACTCCCTGGACAGTGGCACTTCGTCTGTCCCCATTGCGATATTCACGAGTCACTGTTGCAGTGAAGGGAATGTTTCCGTACATTCTTTGGCCCTCCATTGACACATCACATGTGTGGTTAGGGGGAACATCAACTTCTACTGTTTCTGAAAATGTGACTGACTCAGTCATTGTAGAACCCTCACTCCAACTGAATGTTTCCTCCAGAGTGATGCTCCATCCCATGTTCACTATTGAAAAGATCCCTGCAGTCATGCTACTGCTCACACCTATTGAGATGGAAGTGTTAAAATCCCAGCGACGTTCATTAGTTATTGTTTTGGACAGTGAGGTAATTTTCTTCACTGTATTACAGTCGTTGTTGGTGATCCTGGTAGAGACTAAGACCAAGGTCTGATTGGTGTATGTCCCCCTTTCCTTCATATAATGGACATTGTAGATTCGCTGTGAGAGATAGTCTTTATAAACCACTAGAACATCATAATATTTATACCAGTATTCCTTACCATCTATCCCTATGAAGAAGGCTTTATTATGGGGGTCTACCTTCCCAAGGCCATATTTATTCTTCCCAACATATAGTCGGTATCCTGGGCAGCTATTTATAGAATTCGATGGAACATCACCCCAGGAATCTTCTTGCCACTTCAGTGATTCAAAGTTATTTTCATTTATCAAAAGCCAGAACTGAGCATTCTTATGCTCCTTGTCTCCATAAGGATAAAAGCAGTAGGGGCCACGGTTTGGGCTGTAGAAACCGGGTGTGCAGCCTGATTCATAACAAGGGTATTCTGTCCTCTCGGCATAGCCATTCCAGATGGACACAGCACCACTGGGGGCAGACCCTTGGAACCTGACCCATTTCAGAGTGGTACCACTGAGTGCATTGCCGTTCCTGCTAGAATATTGACTTTTTCTGTTCAGGATCTTGACTGCCTGGCTGCCATCACTGTGGACTGAAACAACAAAATGAAGGAGAAAAAGAACAGAGTGAAGATTAAATCATCGAAAACAGGTGAGCCCCTTGGCCCGTTCTTGTGTTACTTTCATGATATAAGAATGGCTACCCCATGTGCGTGCATCTTGCCTTCTCAGTAATACTGGGATCCCCAAATCTTGCAGGAGGACCCCGTGATATTGCTTCTTCCATAACGCCAGCTGGGGGACCCTTTAAAATACTCAAGAGTGTGAATAGCATGGGCTGAATGCCTTGAAATCAGACTGATACAAAGGACAAAATTTAAATAGGAAAACCAGAAAAAAGAAGATTTTAAGTTTTTTATGTGTGGACCAGGCTGATAGTCTAAGTTTTATTTTTTATATATATTTTGTATAACTACATCAGTTAACAAACATTTAAGGAAATACAAGAATATATATGCTATATTGTTGGAACTATTGGAAAAGAAAATGAAATGCCTAGGAATAACAAATGATATGATTAAGAATACAGAATTAAAGACATTATAAGACAAATTTTAAAATGTGTAAGCAAGTTGGATGCTACAGGTACGTCTATTAGGACGTGTAGGGTATGTTCAACACTCCATTTGGGAATTGCCATTCCGATGCAACTGCCGAAATATTTTTATCAATTGACAGTACCAAAACTAAGAAAAGCGTTTACTTTGGCAAGACTGTACATTTTTCCCTCAACAGTTTTGGAGGGCAGTTATAATAACGTATCATAGTCTGATAGAACATGCAGATGCTCATATGACACAATCGGAACTATTGAACATATGATTATGGAGTGATGAGTTGAGGGCTAATTTAGTCACCCTTTTACTTAAAGGTATGGAATCGCTAAACGTGTGAGCCCAGGTGTCATGGCTACCATCGGATACAAATGATTGTGTCACCCTCTCAGTGGCAAAATTCATAGGCACAATAATGAAATATAAGAGAGATAATACTGAGTAAGGTTTAATTTTTTTGGTTCTAATTTCTGCTTAAAGTGATAGCCGTATGAGCAGTACTAGATAGATAGATATGCCATAATGTTATTGTTGTAGTTAAATAAAACTATTTACATTGTTATTATTAAGGTAATGATTATTTTTCTTCTTCCAATAAAGTATAGCAGAAAAGTTATCCAAATATGAATGATTAACCTGTTAAACTGGAGAGTTCACAATAATTTAATAATTATCTACCTATGATGTGTTTCTAATAGTGTAATCAATTCAGTAGGTTTTTTTTTATATAACTGTAAAACTTATCTGAGAACTTGTTATTCTGAAAATGAAATCTTCATCTGGTTGTAAATATTATACCAGCAAGAATGAGTCTTTATGAAGAAAGCTATGATTTAAATCTAGTCTTACTGATGAGTGATTTAAATCTGATGTAAATCTTTATTTAAATCAAATCCACCCTGAAGTGTGGTCTAGCTGGTGATGGTCACCACAGAGGATTTGCTATACATGTGATCAGTTGCCAGCAGTGGACCTGGGCTGAATAAAAGGTCCCTTTGTACAAGATAACAAAACTCATGATGGCCTGAAGAGGCAGATGATCATCATTTCCAGGGAGGTGTTCTCTATTCCGTACCTTGTATTGTTAGAGGACCTTTCTGCACTGATTTCTTTAAGACCGTGAGGGTGACGTTCATACTGCTGGCCCATGACTGACCGATAATCAAGGACATAAAGAGCATGCAGAGCCACAGATGCATCTAAAACAAAAAGCAGGAAGGCATTACTTAGGGAGGTGGTCATATGCTGGAAGCAAGGTTGCCATTGTTCTAAGTAGGTGAAATGTTCCACTGTTTTTTTCCTGTGTGGAACCAGAGTTGTAAATAGGGAGCCAAGTCCCCCCCTACTAGGGTTGCCAGCCTCCAGGTGGGGCCTGGAGAGCTCCCACTTTTACAACTGACCTCCAGCCGACAGAGATCAGCTTCCCTGGAGAAAATGGCTGCTTTGAAGGGTGGACTCTATGACATTGTACCATGCTGAGGCCTTGCCCTTCCCCAAACCATGCCCTTCCCTGGACCCACCCCCAAAGTCTCCAGGTATTTTCCAACCTAGACCTGGCAACCCTACCCCCTACAGTGGGGAGACTTCCTGGTCCTATGCTGGGGAAATTGACATCACAGCAATGCTACAACATCACTTCCAGTGGGAACCCAGAAGAAACATCAGCACATTGGCGCAATGCTCTAGGATTCCACCAATATTCTATTTGAATGTCCCATTCCCCTAAAACTCCTGTCAGTTGCCAGTGCTTGGAAACACCTTCTTCAAGGAATGTATGTGCTCTACTACTAATCTCCCCCCCCCAACCTGAAAAACTTGAATCTGAAAAAGTAGTCTCTATTCTATGAACTTTAGCCACCAAAAAAGTGTTAGACGTTTAAGAAGCCACAGAAATCCTTGCTCTTGGAAAACTTGTCAGTCCCTTTCCCTTTCACCCAATTCCTCTCCTCACCGCCGTTCCTGTTCTGGATGGCTTTTGTCCATGTGGGTCCTTTGATTCCAACAAAACTTTTTTTTGGTGTTCAAAAGGGGCCCTTCTTCTCTCTGTTGCCTGTGAAAAACCTGATAGGATACAATCCAATTGTGCATATTTTAGCAACTCACCTTCGGATCCATGAAAGCTTCTTTCCCACCAGCCATGGGATTTGGGGAATTCACATCCTCTCCGCTATATTTATAGGGATGGGTAAAGCAGAGCTTATCAGAACTATCAGAAAGGAGGTTTGTGTAACCTGGGAGCAGATGCGTTTCAGGGAAGTTCCAATCAGGCCATCAAATACCCTTTCTGGGTATCATTAAGGACCATTTATGCCGAAACCAGCAGGTAAACACTCCAAGCCAATTTCTAAAGTTAATATTTGAGCAAGGTAGGCAAGTGGTGATGGGGAGTGTTTTATGGTATTTTCAGACACATCCCAGCATTACAGAAAATGGAAAGGGAAACTACTGGTATTTTCAGACACATCCCAGCATTACAGAAAATGGAAAGGGAAACTACGAGGCTCAGCAAGTTCTTCCGGGTACGTTTAGGCAAGGCTTGCTTTATTGGTCAGAGTGAACCACAGTAAACTCCAGCTCTTAGTGGGAGAGCCCAGTTTGGAACGAAGGGCCTGTTACGATATGAGCTTGTGTTTGTATTTCTGTGTTGTGGCAATGCTATCTGTGTGTCTCATGTATGGGTATCTGCACATTGGGGGATTCAGGGTTTACTGTTGGTTGGGCTGCTTTGTTCTGCATCTCATGCTTGCCTAGAGATAGGTAAGACGTGGGATGCCTGCTGCTTCTATACCATGTGCTTCCCTGGAATGTCTCCCATGATGCCCCGGGATAAAGAAGACCCAGCGCCATAGCATCCACTTGGACTCTTGGAAAACAACAGCTTTATCCACCATTACTGACCTGTGGGAATCAGCGTAACCCTCTGCTTGATATCTGGTTTGACATCTAAAGACAATAAGCATTTATGGCTCTGGAGCCAGCAACATCTCTGCAAGTCAAAGGTGCCCATGGAAACGGAAGATTCACACCTAACCAAAAGGTCCCCTTTGATGTAGGAATAAGATCTGCATATTGCCCAATGCCCCTTAGGAGAACGTCACCCCCTCGTCATCCCCCTTCAGCCAGTAGCTGTAGATTAGAGGACGGACCCTGATAGTTTATGGCGAGAAAAGACAGCCCCAAAAAGGAGCTTTTATAAGGAGAAACGCGTCTTTGTTTCTCTGGTTAACCCACCTTTCCCTTAGAGTGCACTAAGGTGCTACAGGTGACTCTCTACCTAAGTTCCCCGGAGTCGCGACCAGGGAACGCACACGTGGCTTTGGCTGGTCCTGCCTGTGTGTCTCTAGAGTCCACCAGTTACCGCTTTAGCCGCCCTTCTTTCCAAGAGGAAGATTTCTTCCAGCAGCAGACCTCAGATAAGTATTGGCCGCCCTACTGTGAAAGTGTAATCCCCATTGTTTGATGCTTTGTTATTTTTATATATGCTGTAATTGTTCTATATTCTACTGCAACTAAGGAGCTTGTGTGAATCTCGTATGTATCTGATTTTGTATGCGTGAAGAAACGATTCTAGTAAAAAGACAACATTTACTCTTAAACCTAGTGTGTTGTCTCACTTCCTTGGACATAGCGAGTGTTTCATTGGCCAATCTGACCTCTGTATAGACGGGTTAGAACTCACGCACCGCCCGCCTCTGTAACCAGAGCTGATTTGGGCTCCCAGAACCGGTTCCGGCCCAGTTCGGGTAACAGATTTGGTGCCCCGTGTGAGGCAGCCTTTGGACCCATCGGAACCAGTACCCAACCATCCGGTTCCGACGGACCCAAAACGTGGAGGAATGATCTGGTTGTTTGGACGCTCTAAGATAGGGAAGAGTGAATGGTTTCCGTCTGCGTTTTTGGCCTTTAGTGGCATCTATACTGCGGGAGGGATTTCTACCCCTTTCCTCTGCCCCCAGGAGCATCTCCAGTTCGCGCTCCGACCCTATCGTTGTGAGTCGAC